CACACACACACACACACACATACACACATATATATAAAAAGAAAAGTTTTGGAGGCCCTTTTGAAGTGGGGGTCCTAAACGAGCGCCTACTTCAGCTATGTCTAGGGTTGGCCTTGATGTGGCAGTTGATGGTTGAACTCCTTTAAATTTATTAAAAATGAAATTCATGAATGAATCGCTACAATGATTTGCCACTGTTTTGCCCTTTTGGACTCACAGATAATGATGCAAATGCTCTCTCAGTTGTATCTGAAATATGCATATCAAACCTATGCTCTTGGCTCTTCAAGATAGCTATAACTTCTTGCAACTCAATAAACTCAAGACTCTTTGTGTTTTCTATCACTAAGCATATAGGATCATACATCTTAGTGAGACTAATTAACACTTTCTAGACTAATCTCTTATTTGAAAGAGTTTCTCCAAATGTCTTTGTAAACACAAATATTCCTGCGATGAATGAGACAAGAACATGTGTACAAAATAATATTTTGTATTAATTTTGGGGTTACAATCTCTTTTACAATTTGATCCTCTCATTCTATCATCATAAGGTGTAAATTTGTGGATGGGCTGTTGATCCAAAGGGCCGTCGGGGCTTGATCTTAGGATGAACGAGGATGAACAGATCTTCAAAGGCCTTCGGGGCTTGATCTTGATGAACAGTTGTGTGAATTTCTTAAAGGGCCGTTGGGCTTAACCTTAATGAACGAGGATGAACGGATATTCAAGGGTCTTTGGGGCTCGACCTTGATGAACGATGTGTGGATTTCTTCAAGGACCGTTGGGCTTGATCTTGATGAATAAGGATGAACGGATCTTCAAAGGCCTTTAAAGGCCTTTAGGCTTGATCTTGATGGATGAGGATGAACAAATGGCTTGCTCTTGATGAATGAGGATGAACGAGGATGAACGGATCTTCAAGGGCCTTTGGGCTTGATCTTGATGAACAATTGTGTGGATTTCTTCAAGGATTTGATGAAGAACAAAGAGAGCTTTCTTGATCTTTTGGGATTCTTGGGAATTTGGGAGGTTAGATGCTTGAAAGCTTTAGAGTTTCATAGCTTCAAGGATTTGGGGAATTCTCTTCCAATTTAGGAGTAGAGAAATGTATATGTGAATTCATCCCTTGAAATGGATGAAATGGCCTTGTATTTATAGAATTTTTCAAGGCCTAATTTTGAATATAATATTTAGATGAAATAAACCATTTCTGCTAGGTGTTAACACGTGTCCTATTTGATGACTTTTCTGATTTTTTTCGATTTTTTGTTAACTCACACGACACGTGTGAAATTTATGTGACACGTGAACGTTGAAATTTTAATGCATTGGTCAACATTTATTTCACCGAAATGTCGATGTCTACAGTCTTCATTTGATTAATCAGATCATTCAATCAAGTAAGATACTCATATAAGGATTCATCATCACACATTCTAGTATATTCAAATTCTCGTCTAAGATTTTAAAGTTTCAAAGATCTCACCTGATCACCACCATGGAATTCTCCGTCTAACATATCCCGCGCCATTTTTGCTTAGTTTGTGTTAGCAATTCGGGGAAAAATCTGATCAGAGATTGCACTTTGAATGATGTCCAGAGCTTTTGCATCTTTCATGAAGATTGTAGCCAAATTCTCATCCACTTCATCATCAGTGTCTGTGTCTTCCTTAGTCTTCGCCTTATTCTACTTCGAATCGGGAGTTGTAATCCTCTTTTCCACCAAATTCCATAGCCCACGTGACTTGAAAACGGTGATCATTTTAATTCTTCAGAACTCGTAGTTCTCACCAGAGAAGATCAAAGTTCTCACCTCAGAATTTTCAGATCCAACCATCTCTTAGCTTAGATGATTTGAAGGCAAATTGATTTTGATTTCTATGGAGTTTCGGCGACTTCACCAGAATCGGAGCAAGCTGAAATGTAGCTCGATTGCTTCAATGTTGATGATGCTTTCACATTTCACGCTTATATCTCAGTTGATCGAACCTGGCTTTAAGGCCATGTTAAAGTTTTAGTATGAAAGGAAGTGCAAATCGAAGAAAGAACAAGAAAAATGAATCATAAAGGGACGAAAATGGCGATGAGAGCTTCTCTTTCTATCTCTGCAAATTTGTTCTCTATTGATTCCACTTGCACACACAATGATGCACTACGTAACGGTTAGTTATGTTGATGGGATCTCACCAATACATCAAGTGATCTCAGCCACACATCTAACTAGATTCAAGGTGATTCATCCACATGTCACTTAGACAAAATTACAATATGAGCCCAACACTTGGTAATTTTAACCAAAGTGAATATACAACTAAATACAAGGCTTATTTCTACTAACTTCAAATCAGCTTATGGCTTCTACTAACTTCAAATCAGCTTACAGGATCCACTCCCCTGGATGATATGAGATGTTACACTTGGGTTGAAAATTTTAAGTTTTAAACTAACCCAATTATTCTCAAATGATTGGGCCTAAATAACTTTTGGGTTTAAAGCTAAAATTTTGGCCAATTTAATGCAGATTTTAGGTCAGGGTTAAAAGGTTGGCCCCCAAAATTTAGTTTTAAACACACATAATCCTTCTCCAATGGTTGGGTCTAAAAAGTTTTGAGTTAAAACTTATTTGGGCAATTTAAAATTTTAAATGCATTAAATCCAACGGATGTGATCGAATATGATCAAATCTAATAGTAATAAAAAAAAATCTAATTGCCCAAAATTAAATCCAACGACTAAAAGAATTTAAAAAAAAAATTAAAACCAAAATTTACCCAAAAACTCTATAAATACATGTTTCATGGGCTTGATTTAGTGAATTCTCAACTTTTCTCGGAATTTAAATATTGTTAGGTTAAAATGTTCATAAATATAAATTATGATAGTCTTCAAAAAAATTGTCACATCCCATCTTGGGCCCCGACCACATTCTGAACTCGACTTCTCCATAGCACGATATTGTCTGCTTTGGGCTCCGACCACGCCCACACAGTTTTGTTTCTGGAAACTCACATGACAACTTCCTAGTGGGTCACCTATCTTGGGATTACTCTCGCGTGAACTCGCTTAACTTCAGAGTTCCTACAGAACTCGAAGCCAACGAGCTCCCAAAAAGCCTTATGCTAGGTGGAGATGTGAATATACATATAAGGCTTACATGAAACACTCTCCTGGGCAATGCGGGATGTTACAAAAAGTATTTGAAAAAAAGTTAACGAAAAATAAAATTTAGTATTAATTCATTTTTTAATAATTTCAGGCTAAAATTTTAACCCATAAACATTGGAGGAAAAAAAAAAAAACCACTTCCAGCTAAAATTTCTAGGTTAAAATTTTAGATTTTAACTCAAGCGTTGGAGATGGCTAAAATTGTCATATCCAGGCCCCTACCACATCCCAGCCCCGACTCCACCGTAGCACGATATTGTCCGCTTTGGGCCCCTACCACACTCTCACGGTTTTATTTCTGGGAACTCACACAAGAACTTTCCAGTGGGTCACTCATTCTAGGATGGCTCTTGAGCGAACTTGCTTAACTTCGAAGTTTCTATGGAACCCGAAGTCAGTGAGCTCCCAAAGGCCTCGTGCTAGATAGAGATGAGAATATACATATAAGGCTTACATGATCCACTCCCTTGTGCGATGTGGGATGTTACAATCCACCCCTAAGGAGGGGCCCAATGTTCTCGTGGCACACTTCCGGCCAAAGATTGGCTCTAATACTAAATTGTCACATCCGGCCCGATCCCCCACTACATCCCGGGTCCGACTCCACCGTAGCACAATATTATCCGCTATGAGCCCCTACCACACCCTCATGATTTTGTTTCTGGGAACTCACACGAGAACTTCTCAGTGGATCACCCATCTTGGGATGGCTCTCGCGCGAACTCGCTTAACTTCGGAGTTCTTACGGAACCCGAAGCTAGTGAGCTCCCAAAAGGCATCGTGCTAGGTAGATATGCGAATATACATATAAGACTTACAAGATCCACTCTCCTGAGTGATGTGGGATGTTACAAGCATGATGTGGTTCAAATTTGCCTTTGGCGATAATTGAACCTAAAATCTCTTACTTACGAATGAAGATGAATATCACTAAAACTCTTGACAAATCTTAATTCCTTATATAGCTATTTTCCGATTGTTGATGTGGATTATTTGAAAAAGAACGAAAAAATTAATTGTTTATCCAAGATAATTTTAGAAACGCTTTTTTCGCATGAAGAAAATTTACTCTCCCTATATTAATATAGGGTGTAGAGGCAAACACTCTTAATCGCATATTCTACCATCTTAAAAAGTTTAGTTTTTTATTGTATAAACAGTAATTTATTTAATTTATATCTTATGTAGGATTATTTTTCTTTGATTACTTGAGAGATTTTATTTCATTTCATTTGATATTTTAATTCTAAATTTTGAAAGAGAGGTGATGGGGGCAAATTTTTTTTTGAAACCGTACAATGGGTCAATAATTAAGTAAGCATTAAAATCAACACAAATATTAAAGTTAATATCACTTTTGGTCCCTGTAGATTACTTCAAGTTTCACTTTAGTCCTCATAGTTACAATTGTTTGTACCTATAGTTTATTATAAAATGTAATTCCTGCCCATAATTGAGGAGATTTTTCATTGTGTCAGTAACACGGGATAGAACATCACATGTCATTATAAAATTAAAAGGATATGGGAAAAAGAAAACAAAAAACTTTCCTCCAATTGTAGAATGATATGTGATGTTACGGTTCACTGAAAAATCTTTCCCCCACATACGTACGCTATATCACATGCAAATATGCGACTTAAGCTCCCAACCTCCTAAATTACATATTTGGACATATCAAATCACAGCAGTTCTCCCCTCACACAATCTCGTCAGCTCCTCGAACGTAATTTCACCTCGCTCATCCATCAGCTTTGCCTGCATGTACGCAGTTACGCATATAAATATAACAAAAAAAGGTAATCACTCTTCGCGATTATTGAAATCAACGCTTCAATTTCGCCACAAATCCTTTCTTCTCTCTGTCGGCGAGTGGTTTTTGGTTTGCGATTTTCGTATTTCGATCGCATTACAATAAACTTTCGTTCTCGGAATATTTTGAGACTTGTTTGGATCGAGAGAAAATGGGGATTCAAGACCAGGTAGGGAAAATGCAGGTCCGTCAGGGGTACCGGAATCTATGGCACGCCGGTTTGATGGATACCGCGACCGCTGATACTTCCTGTAAGTAGCGATTTGTATCGGTTCGATGTACATTGTTGTTTAGTTTCTGTTTGGTTGCCATGTGAGGGAAAAAAAACAGAGGATTTTCTTTGTTTCTGTTATGAATCGGGGGATGTGTTCGACTGTTTTGATTGGAATTTCATTCTTTGTTACGTCTTTGATGATTTGTCTATAAGAAAATGTAGGTTAAACAAAAAGAAGAAATGAATATGGAAATAAAAGATTTGAGTACTACTGGGAAAACTTAGTGAGCTCCATGCAGATGGGATGGGGATTTTTAATTTGTTTTTTTGGCTGAATGGATTTTGAGGTTTTGTATGTATAAGGTCGACGTGACGATGTCATCCATAGAAGCATGTGATCTCCTTGTATTTTGGTCCCACCATCCTCATGCAATCCCACTATGTGTGGGGCTGCCCTACCAAATTTTAGGCTGTACTGTTAGTTATTGGTGATTAGTTGTTTGGTTTATGAGAAAGTGAAGTAGGAAAATGAGTGTAAGAAAATAGACAAATAAATTGGTGTTTTATCTCAAAGAAATGGGAAAATTTGAATTCGCTAACATCATCAACTCGAATTGGCTTTAATTTTGATGTTTGGATTTTGGTATTTCTTTCTTTATGTGCATTTGATCTGACCCGAAATTTAATCTTGTTATGTTCTGTTTGTTATGCAGATTTTTGCTTGGCATGTCTCTGGTAAGCACTCTCATATCTCTGTGGTGCATTCTTAAGTTGTTGCATTTAGCTCACTTATCGATTAGATATGTTTCTACTTTTGCTCTAAGATTGTTTGGTATGATGTTCTTGTATCAACGATTTCATCGTGACACTTTGGTACTGGCGATATGGTTGCTCGTTTTGATTTTTCGGTACTCAGAGTTGTGCTTTATGGAGAGATGCCTTGTTTCTTGCATTCTGCAATCTAATTTTTCTTCATTACATGATAGTGCTCCGTGTGTTTCATACCTCCTACGCAAACGAGCTCTTTACAATGATATGTCAAGGTAACTGTAACTAATAATTACATTTATTTCCAGATACTCCTGATCATTACAGAAAGATTGCGATTCTTGAACACTAGCTTGGTGATATTCTGTGTTACAGGTACACATGCTGTGCCGGATATATGCCATGCAGTGGAAAGTTTGGAGAAAGGCGCTGTCCTCAATTGTGTCTTGTTACGGAGGTATTAATCACATTGTTTTGTTGGTGCAATTTACGCGTTTAGTGATGTGGTATTCATCATTTTTTAAAGAACAAATTCAGGCTTAACTCATCTATTACTACATGTAGCGATCCATGTAGGTATTCCTCACCTTGTGCGCTCTATTACTGCATTTTTCTGGACATCGACATCCATGAAACTTTTACTTTATATATGTTTGCATACTTTGTTGTTTTCAGGTCTGCTGCTGCTTTTCAAGTTCAGTTTCCTCGACACGCTTTCTAATCCAAGATGAGTTCAATATACAAACAACACCGTGCGACAACTGCATTATTGTAATCTCTCATCTGTCTTGATGTTTATGTTTACAATTTTTTCTCTGTCTACACATATTATGACATCCTTCTCGCTCCAACATGACATTCTTTTGTAGGGATGTATGCTCTGCCTCAGCCAAATTGCGTGTATATGCTCCTTGATCGCTTGCTTAACTGGAAGCGAGGAGCTCTCAGATATTTCCAGTGTGTTGAACTGTATAGCTGACACGGTGTTTTGCTCGTAAGGCCTTCATTCCACCCTTCTTGACTCATTCAGACGGGAGCTCGTTACACCTTTTACTGATTCTGACTTGGTCTTTTTTTCAGGGTCTGTGCTTGCATGCAGGTATGCAATAAATTAGTGATCAAGTGCATTTTAAAAGCATTGAACTTCTGATTTTTTTGCTTATAGAACTTGATGCATGAATTTTGATAAATCAATGAAATTTGAACTGTAATCCCTGAACCCTTTTGCTCTAAGATACTAAAAACTTCGTCTCCAACCCTACATTACTGAGGCAATTGATAAAATCCTCTAATTTCATGGCGATTAATCTCTATTGTAACAAGCAAACATTGAGTTGGAGTTATGCAGACCCAGCACAAGATTGAACTGGACAAAAGGGATGGCAAGCTTGGTCCGCCGCTCGTGATGGCAGTTCCTCCGACGCAGCAGATGTCACGGAATGATCAGCCAGTATCTCCTCATGCCGGATATCAACATCCACACGCTGGATGTTCACCTCCACCAACAGGATATCCAAATCAACCGGCAGGATATCCAAATCAACCGGCGGGATATCCACCGGCAGGATATCCAAACCAACATGCGGGGTATCCAAATCAACATGCAGGATATGGACATCAGCCAGTAGGATATATGCATCCACCGGCATATGGGCAACCAGTATATCCTCCAGGGCCTAAACCTCACGCGTATCCTCCTCCTCCAGAGTCAGGAGAATTTCCTTACAACCTCGGACCTCCTCCTCCACCCCCTGGTTATACTCCAGAATCTGCATCTGCTCCTCCGTATCCTCCAGGACCTCCACCAATTTCTCCTCTCGACGGTTATCCTCAACCTCCTCCTCCTAGCCGCACCCATCCCGATCCTCCCAAGTGATCTGATGGTACAATGCAGACCGAAATTCTGTCACATGGGTATGAAAGTAGATACAGGAATTTCCTAATTGAACTTCATTTTTGAAACCAAATTTGTTTCTTCCATGTTGCCCTTAGATTTTTTATCACGTTCCGAGTCACTAATAAGGGTAATGTGGAGAAAGTCGTAAACATGACCTTGTATTAGTGGTTTGAGAAGCCACGATAGTGTTGCGTTTGTTCCATGAAAGTCTCTCAGGAGTCAATTGGTCATTGATGGTTCTCACCTTCATCAAGCTCCTATTGTTAAGGGAATGCAGAGAAGGCCAGACGAATCAACGTGATTTGTTACTTTAAATTGCAACACTCGAGACTCTGAGAGTGGACTGCAAGGAAAGAATGTTAAAATGTCAATACAAAGGTATTTAAAATTAATCGTGGACTGTCATGCAAAAAAAATTGAAACATATAATAATACGTGATTGGTTTGTAATACATATGTAGTGACGTCAACACCGATGCCATTAAAGTGAGTTTATCTCCTAATGCCGTCGTCAATGTCTAGTAGACTAGCCTAACTAGCACATATACCAATTTCAAAAATTATGCAATGCATTGTTAAATTTTTATTTCTCCATAAGCATTGAAAAATAGTCACTTTGCACTCATCTTTCTTTTTTCTTTAAATTCGTGAATTAGTAGATAATTTCTATATTTTCAAGAGTTTATTTGTTGATTTGTCCTTAGAAATCGCCCTCTAATATCACTTTACCTTATGAAATTGGATTTGTCTCATTTTACCTCTGAAAATTGCCAAAATTGAGCCATTTCACCATGTTTACGTCCACGCTAACAAAGATTTGTCATATTTAGAGATTTAGAGCATTCTAAAAACTTTCATACCTCGTCAACCACAATGGCTCATCTCTGCCAGCATAGTATGAAATATCTAAAGTACCCTTTCATTTAACGTCCATGAGATATAATTGACAGAAATAGAGTGAAATGCCTCGATTTTAGCAGATTCAGGAGGCAAAGATAGAGAAATCCAATTTCAGGTGGTAAAGTAAGGCTTAGAGACAATTTCAGGAGGCAAATCAATAAATTAAATTTTTTCAAATGAAGAATGAAAAAGAAAAAAAAAAAAAAAGAAGAAATTTCATGCTTATACATTTCGAAGAATAAATAGTAACCAAATAAAAGCATCTAAGCGATAATCAATTTAATTTAAACTACGACTCATAAATTCGAATGTGCGTGTACAAAGAGTAGCACGTTACTCAAACTAGCCAAACTAAAATCAACGACAGCTCCTATTAGAGGAGGATGCTATGATGATGTGAATGAGAGGAATGTTAAGGAAACTTTTTTAAAAGTAGAACTTTCTTCTACTTCATGTTTTTTTGCAGTTCAAAAATTGACATTAAATTGTGAGGTAGCAAAAAGTTCGTAGATAGTCTCATTTTAAGAGAGTCTTTTTAGCATTTGTATGTGAAGGAAGACCGGATGAAATGAATGTTATATTGTTGACAAGGAAAGGTTGGTAAACATGTGATAGGGAAAAGGATCCTTGTCGGATTCTTTTCATGGGGACCCAAGGATTTGATGATCGTAACCGTTCATCATAAATCGTGCGGTCAGTTTTCGTTAGGTATTATTTATATATAATTTTCAATTTTCAATTTTAAAATGATTTCTGATCGCATGATGTATGATGAACAAACACCATCACAGAATCCCCCAGATCTCCAGGAAAAGGATCCGGCGAGGATTCTTTTCCATGTGATGGATAATCATAAATATCACTTTCATTAGACAAGCAATTTACAGTAATACCAATCAACTTGTGATTAATTAGTAAAAGTAGAGGAGGGCAAGTATAATTAGGTAAAGCCATCATGACTCACAAAGTTTTTAACAGGTTTGAAAGATTCAAACTTATCCAAAATTGGTGGTTGTCACCAAATAAATTCCTAAGAATTTATAAATTTTGGTAAGAAAATATAGTTGGATCTTATATCTTATTAAATTCAAGCCGTTTATTTTTTTTAAAGAAGTACGATATTCATAAATAAGATAAAGAAATATGTACAAAAGAGGAACAGGTGCATACATGTACACAACCGAGCCAAGCGGTGTGCAACCCTGTCAGCCTCCCGTTTAGTGAAACAGTCGCGAGTGGGGAATCGAGTACAGAAAATGTCTAGCATCATTAATAACATGCCCCAGCGGAGACGTATCGTCCTCAGAATTTTGTTGAAGTGCAGCGGTCACCATCTGTGCATCCCCTGCAAATTCCACATAAGCAGCCTCCAAATCGCGCGCAAACAGCACGGCAGCCCGAGCTGTCATCATCTGTGCTAAAGGTGGCGAAGAAATTCCAGCAAGTGCCATTGCTGCTACAAACTTTCCACTTGCATCTCTGACCACCACTGGCTTTGACTAGATCCGGATAAATCGATTGGCCGTCTTACCAGCTGCCGACGAGCAATATCAACAAAACGTCCCTGCTCCCTACATTCAATCGCTACCACATAATTATATAAAGTAAAGAAACTGTTTATTTCCACTTAGTACACCGGTTAGTAGTATTTTTCTTCATTTGTAAGTTATAGGTCTTAGGTTCAGCAAATTTGAACGATATTATTACTAGCTCATTGTGAGACTTAATCCACTTCCGCAATGTAGACAACATCGTTTGCTAAAAATAAATGTATATTGACACTTTAAAACCGTCGACTAAACCATAAAAATGAAAATTGCATAATAACCACCTGAATTATTAAAAGTATGCACAAATACCACCTAAACTTAAAAAACTTGCAAATTCACCACCTGAATTGATGCTTTAATGTGAATGTACTACCTCTATGTTATTTCGTGAAAATTTAATCAAAACGTATCAGCTTCAACATATGTAAGATTTTTTTCAAAGGTATTTTTTCCCTAAAAGATCATGAGGGACTTTGAGTAAGAATTCAATTGACTAAAGCCTGTAGAACACGTAGTCAACCTCTTTGAAAACAAGGTGTAGTCAACGAAATTTTGATCCCAGTTCACCTAGAGGTCTTAGAGTGATTAAAACATGCACAAAAATTGATCAAGTGCGCAATACGTGATGAGTTTTGATACAATTTTCAATGAAATTTGACAGAGACGACGCACCTGCACTAAAAATGAGAGTTTGGGTGGAAAATTGGCATAAAACCCAAGCAATACTGCCTCTCCACTCTTCTAATCCGCAATGGGCATAATTGGCATTGCCGCCTCCTTTTGCACCCAAAAGGCCGAAACCACTCCTTTATACGTCCTTTTCCCTTTTAAATATTAAAAAAGAATATAAAAAATTCCCACCAACACATTTCCTGAAGTCATGGACTTGACTCTAAAGCGAAATCATTAACAAAAAAATCCCATAAAATATAGCAGCAAATTGCTGAGTATAGAATTACACGGATAGATTTGTCGGCCGTCGACTACCTGATGTCTTTTCTTTTGTTTTTTTATCCGAATTTAAGATCGACAGTGTAAGATAAACGTATATGTATAGATGATAAGAAGGAGAGTCATGTAGCATTTGTATTTCAATATCGAAATATACAAAAACAAAAGAGAGAAATGATTCAAAATCTTCTCTCTTTTCCCTGTTTCATTCTTTTACTTCTTCAAATTTGGCACCAAAATTTCATTTATTTGGCACCAAATTTTCATGTGTATTTACATTTTATGCTGAAATTTTACCGATTAGAAGGTCAACAAAAAAACCCACCAAGTCCAGCTTCCTCAAACCGAACTGTACTCACTGTAATAATCATGGTCAATCTCAGAGGCGGCAAAGAGCCGTTGATTAAACTCATCGCTCATCTCATCGGGCACGAACGCCGTCCTACAAAGCGGGCACGTCTTCTGATCGTGGTCCATCCAACGGTCCAAACACGCCCGGTGAAAAATGTGCTTGCAATTCGTCAAACACCTAATCTCGTCCTCCACCTCGAACTCGTACAGGCAGACGGCGCAGCTCTCCGGAGGGTCCCCTGCGACGTCGCGGAATTTGATGACGGGGAGAAATTCCTTGATCAGGAGGGCCGACGCGGATGGGTTTTCCGGCAGGTGGGACCCGGACTCCGGCCAAACGATGTCGTCGGTTTCGAGAAATTCGGAGAGACCCAGAAAGTGGAAGAACGAGAAAATGAGGCTTCGGATGAAGCCGAGGAGAGAGAGTGTGTGGAGGAAGAGGTTGGGGAAGACGAAGACCTCTGTGTATCCCACTGGGAAGCCCATGGAAGCGCTTTAGAGAGAGGAAGGGAGCGGACGCGGGTGGTGTTTTTAGAGAGAGAATGCCAATTGGGTCTACATATTTGAAGGCCTTTTATAGCCTTTAATTGGGAAGAGCTTCTGTTTCGGTTGCGAGGGTATATTCGATAGAGTCACCGCCTGTGACTTTGTGAGTGGGTCCCAGTGGAATCTGGGCCGTGAGTGGTGGCATGGCTTGGGGTGTGCCATGTGCTTTGCTCTGGCGTGTGGGTTACTTTGAGTGTGCGTGACCGTCTTGCAACAGTCGTTAGGATTACACGAGTGGCACGTGGTAATATTGCGAAGGAGAAAGGAAGAACGGTGGGTGATGCTTATGATTATAATCCACTAGTGTATTGTAATTAAGGACTAATTAACTATTAATCACTGTGATTATCATGTGGCTGTCATAATTGAACCAGTGACCTTTATCTGTTTAGGCGGCACTTCACTTCATTTCTTATTTCATGAATACATGAATAGAATCATAAACAATTGAACATGTTTAGAATGAAGAACATTTAAAAAATAATATATTTAAAATAAATACATATGATCGTGACGTTACATAATATTATTGCCTAGTTATATGCAAGCATGGACATTTACTAATTCAAGACTCCCGATTTCAGTTGAAAATGTAAGGTATTACTTTATCCTTGTATTTTTAGGTGGAGGGAATTTACTTTCAGTAGTCATCTACAGTCATTGAATCATTGTCACTAATTATTCTGTTATTGTATCCGATATTTACGGTGTAATTTATGTAGATGAATGACTGATAATACTCAACGCCAAATATTTTCATTTTCTTTTATGTGTTTCTTATAAATAACGTGTGTTTATGTAATACAGGTAAACCGTGAAGGTGATAAATTTATATCAACAACAGTTGCCAAAGTAGAATAGAGCCACAAGGGTCACCGGTGCAAAAAGCATTATACAACATTGCATGTTTAGCATGAGGGGGATGTACAAATCCAAACTACATATGAAGGGATAGAGTGATCATAATTAACTGATGATAGAAGCTAAATACTAAGAGATTCAGAGGTAGAAGCTAAATACAAAATATCACAAACAAAAATTTTAATTCTCCAAAAAATAAATAAACAAAATGCAATCAATAAAAAACTTCAAATCACCCTCAATTTTTTTTTTAGTACATAAGTTAGGATAACGCCCAACAACAAAATTAGACATAAACAAAACGATGCTTAAATGTAAAGGTCGAAATTCTAAAAAGTTAGCATCATTCATGGCAACCAAGAAAAAGTCACC